ACTGCAAGAGGAGTGAAATAAAAGAAACAATTGCTAAAATCGGTTGATAGGAACAGGAGTTATAGAAGTTTCTAGACAATTCCAGTTGTCTGGACATACACATGCGTGTGGCGGCAGTTTCTGGAAGTTTTCCAGAAGGTTCCAGGAATTTTCTAGAAGATTCCTGATGTAAACATTGCGTATTATATATATATAAATTAGCCTTTGAAATACATAAAATATAAAAGTTAAAAACTAACTAGATATTTTTGAAGAATATTTGTAGTCTGCGGAATAAATAGATACAAATCGCCTTTTTCAACGTTTTCGTCAATAAACATGGACATTGACTCAAAGTTGAAAACCTTCAATTTGTCGGAGTTTATACTAAATGTAGCATCTGCTCCGGCTAATATTTGCGTAAATTCAAATTGCAAGAGTAAGTTATATGTTGGAAGTATGTCCAAAGCATTAAGAAGAACACCACTGGCGAAAAAAGCTTGTAAAGTTTCTGTTCAATTACGTTTGAGCATTTATTATTATACAGATAGTGAAACTAATAAAATATTCAATAGTGCATTAGATATTATTGTAGCGGATCAAGGATATAGTAGATGTATTGGGCCATTTACATTAGTCACACCATTATCTATTAGAAGAGGAGAAAAACAATTGTCACGTTCGTCCGCAAACCAAACACGTTGCATAACAATTGTTAGAAATGCTGTGACAACATGGAAATATGAATATCGAAATACAGATGATGACGATTTAGAATCGGTCGATGATAGTAATATTGATGATGATGATTCACGAGATGATAATAACATGTACTCCAATGAGTCAGACCGCAAGGTTTCCAGTATGGAGAATGATTAAGAAGAATGTTTCAAACAGCAAATCAATGTTCGAAAAACAACATGAAGATATAAAAGTTTCAGTACTGTTTATGGATTTTTTGTCATTCATATGTGTATTTTGTATGAACCTCTTTCCGCTAGTCACAATAAATGCTTTTATAATCAAGAAATAAGGTTTTTTTCCTATTGTGTGATTTTTTTTCAATAGCTTGCCCCTACGTATAGTACATGAGCAAAGCCTTTGCACATGCTTGACAAGCTTGGTAATTTGCACATTAAGCTTAGTATTATGTACACTTTTTGAATGAATCTTTCACAGAAAAGGCATTTTCCCTCCCATACCTCCCGAAAAAACCGCATTTTTTCAAAGTTAAAGCTCCGTAACTTCATAAGGGGATGAGCTAGAAAGATGAAATTTGGTGTCTAAGTAGGACACTGCAAGAGGAGTGAAATAAAAGAAACAATTGCTAAAATCGGTTCATAGGAACAGGAGTTATAGGTGAAATACTGCCAACATCAATTCTACAAAAAGTTGCATTTCACTTCAATAATGATTTGGTTTAAAATACTATTTGTGCACCGTTTCAAGATTTAAAAATAGTCGTATTCGATCATACTCGACATGCGCTATCTTTTGAATAAAGATTGATTGCTTACTCGGAATTAGTGAAAACCGATCATGTCCTTTATATATTTGCGTATTCTGGTATATTCTCTTGTGTTGGCAATGAGGATACACCAACCCCGGCAAGTCCAGCAAGTTTGAAAATAACAGTGTCTTTTGAGAATACACTGCGTACTGATATTCTGACACCACTCGTACAATTTGTACATAGTTGTACCGTTTCCGACTTACTGTCCAGTTTCTGAGCTCTTATTTTGATACAGCAACTTGATTTTTGCACAGATACATACATACATATAGACAAAGAACATAGGAAGCTGTGAAAATCAAAACTTTACCATCGTGTTAAGTGCCTCAAATATGCTTGACGAAAAAGTACGTAACGCCGTGACACTGTGACACTTAAATTTTGTGTTTTTCAGGCAAATCTAATAACCTAGGCGAGACATTTTTTTACCATTAGAAAGCCGTGAGCTGCTCTACAGGAGCAGCTGAAGGAATGTTCCATTTGGAGAACTACTTTGGCAGCAAATCAGGATTTTCGTAGCAGCACTCTTAAAAACGGGTCTTTTTCGTAAAGCAACACTAAAATCCTTCTCAAAGCCCAGTGCAACATCCAAAATACTTCGTTTTCAGAGAATAAGTAGAGCATGATGAACTGCTTGATTGACGTTTGAACGAACTTTCTAGCCACTTTAGTTTTCGAGATAACCGAAGTTTACTGCGTCAAAAACGTAACGTAGTGCCGTTTGGACAAGCCGTAGGGTAGTCGGATATGATCGAGATAGAGATCATGGACAATTCGCATTCGTGGCGAACTGAGTTATTCTGTACTGTTGTGTTCGGGATGCGACATGGCTTCATACTGGCTATAGACTTATAATGTTTATTTTTTGTCTAATGAGTTCAAGTCAGAATCGATTACGAATTCTATGTTATTTTCTGTGGAGGTTACGTCACCATCTAGATTAGGTAAGAATCACTTGAGAATTCTCTATTATTTTCTTAATACTATCCGTTTCAAAATATAACGTAGTCGAAGCGAGCTCGAACTTCCCAAAGTTCGAGAAACTGGAGGAATTCCGGGGAGTACAAGAAAAAATCGGAAAAAGGGATTAGAATCCGATGAAATCTCGAAAATCTGTAAAAATGACTAAAAGCGGGGCTAAGCGGAAAAAACGTGAGAAAATTCAAAAACAGTCAGGAAAATTCTTCGGGCTCAGCGAAGTCATAAAGGATACCGGTAAAAAAAAACCGAAAGGTAGCACCCTGGGTGACCACAACGCAAAAAGTGGAAAAATTGATTTTTTTCAAACATGCTTGTTTTTAGTATTTTGGATCTAGAAATTGCTAGTCCAGCTTGACCAAAAGACAAATTCTATTATTTTGTACAGTTGATAATTCTGCGTCGATTGATATGTAAAAGAAAATTTTAAAACAATAGGGTGATAATTGTTCAAAAATTTCTCTTCCTTTTTACTTCGAATTATTATTTATTACGACGTTTCGAAGGTAACTACCTTCTTCGTCAGGTTTTAAAAATAGAACTAATCTTTAAGAATAAGGACACTTATATATATATATGTACAAAAGTCAATTTTTCCTTTTTCTCTTCTTATGTTCTTTAATAGTGGAACGGACGACAACAGGACGGTAACACTGGAACAGAAACGAAACTATATTACATAGTCTCTTCTTCGTCCGTTCC